TTCATTTAGCAGGTAGAAGAGGAGGATTTCACAGCTTCCATGGTGGTAGTGATAACAGGGGTAGATGGAGAAGTGATGGACAGAGACAATTCAATGAACAAAGGAATTTCATACAATGTTACCATTGCAGAAGGTATGGGCACACAAAATCTAATTGTTGGTATAAAAATCAACGAATGAATTTTGCGGTAGAGAAGGAAGAAGAAGAAGAAAAGCTGCTTATGGCGTGCATGGATTCTAATCCAAAAAAGGGTGACTTATGATTTGTTGTTGATAGCGGATGCTCAAACCATATGACAGGCACCAAATCTTTATTCAAAGAGCTTGATGAGACGCAAAAAATTAAGGTACAACTTGGAAACACAAAAGAGATGCAAGTTGAGGGAAAAGGTACAGTGAAAGTCGAAACTAGTCATGGTAAGATAAAACAATTAGATAATGTTCAATTTGTACCTGATTCAGGGTATAATTTATTGAGTGTTGGACAATTGATGACTAAAGGACATTCAGTTCTATTTGATGACAACACGTGTCATTACACATAAGAAATCAGGTCATAATATTGTCCTTTTCTATTGGAAAAGCTAGAAGAGTTTCACATTGTCTAGAACTAATTCATGTTGATTTATGTGGGCCAATGCAAACGAAGTCCTTGGGTGAGAGTATATATTTTTTACTATTCATTGATGATTATAGTTGCATGAGTTGGGTTTACTTCCTACAACGTAAGTCAGAAACTTTTCAGAAGTTCTAGATTTTTAAAGCTATGTTAGAGAACAAAAGTGGCTGTCACATTAAAGTTCTTCGAATAGACAGAGGTGGCGAGTTCATATCTAAAGAGTTCAATCTGTTTTGTGAAGAAGAGGGCATCCAAAGGGAATTAAGAGCTCCTTACACTCCAGAACAAAATGGAATCACTGAACGAAAAAATCGAACTATTGTGGAGATGGCAAGAAATATGTTACAAGCAAGGAGACTTCCAAACCAATTTTGGGCAGAAGCCGTAACAACATCTGTTTATTTATTAAACATCTCCAACAAAGGCGGTTATGAATCGAACTCCTTATGAAGCATGACATGGAAGGAAACCAACTGTAAGTCATTTACGAATCTTTGGTTGTGTTGCTTATGCTTTGAAATATCCTCAAATTCGTCAAAAGCTTGATGAAAAATCTGAAAAATGCATTTTCATTGGCTATTGTACTCAATCAAAGACATATAAATTATACAACCCCATCAGTGAAAAGATTTTAGTTAGAAGGGATGTAATATTTAATGAAAACATGAGTTGGGATTGGAGTAAAGAACATGAGCAACAAAAGATTACCGTTGAAGTTTCTTTAAATGAAGAGACAAGGGTCAACTCTAGTGCATCTCCTAGTGCCTTCACTCCAGCACAAAATGTGTCAAATTCATCATCTTCAGTATCACTAAACAGCGATTTTTCTCTTGAAGAACTTTCGAATGAGACACCTTCAAAGAAATATAAATCTTTAACTGACATATATGCGTCATGTCAATTTGCTCTTACTATTTCAGATCCTATGAGTTATGAAAAGCAGTTGAAAAAGAAGAGTGGAAGAAAGTCATGGTAGAAGAGATGCAGTCCATTGAGAAAAATGAAACATGGGAGATGGTTGACTTACCAAACGAAAAACATGCAATCAATTTGAAATGGGTGTTCAAGACAAAATTTGCACTAGATGGAAGCATACAATAGCATAAAGCCCGTCTTGTAGCAAAAGGGTATGCACAACAAGGTATAGATTTTGAAGAAACTTATTCTCCAGTAGCTCGTTTTGAAACTGTAAGAACTATTCTAACATTAGCAGCAGAATTGCGGTGGCCGGTTTATCAGTTTGATGTTAAGTTAGCATTTCTTAGAAGGATTCATAAAGAAGGACAAAGAAACAAAGGTATACAAGTTGAGAAAGACACTATACGGATTAAAGCAGGCCCCTCGAGCTTGGTACAACAAGATTGATGAGTATTTTCAAAAGAAAGGATACATAAGAAGTGAGAATGAGCCTACTTTATATGTGAATAAGGAAGGTAAAAGTGATTTTATCATTATTTGCCTCTATGTTGACGATATTATTTACACTAGCTCTTCTAACTCCTTTTGGATAAATTTAAGTCTCAAATGATGAGTGAATTTGAGATGTCAGATATGGGTCTATTGCACTATTTTCTTGGTCTGGAAGAGTTGAGGATGAAATTTTTATTTCACAAAGAAAATATGCCAAAGATATTATGAGTAAATTTGGTAGGATTAATTGTAAGCCTTCTGCTACACCTATGAATATTAATGAGAAATTACAACATGGTGATGGAGCAGAAATGACAGATGCTAGAAGGTTCAGGAGCTTGGTTGGCGGATTAATTTATTTAACTCACACACGACCCGACATTGCATTTCCTATTGGTATTATTTCTCAGTTTATGCAACATCCTTCAAAGGTTCATTATGGAGCAGCAAAAAGAGTCTTATGTTACATTGCCGGAACTATGGAGTATGGAATTTGGTATTCTAAATCCTCTAATTTCAAACTATATGGATTCACTGATAGTGATTGGGCAGGATCATTAGATGATAGACGAAACATTTTAGCCAATGTTTTCACTTTAAGGTCAGGAGCGATCACTTGGAACTCAAAGAAGCAAGCAACAGTGGCGTTGTCAACGTCAGAAGCAGAATATGTTGCAGCAACTTCAGCAGCGTGTCAAGCTATTTGGCTAAGAAGAATTTTAGCTGATCTTCAACAAGAGCAAAAAGGGGCAACAAAGATATTTTGTGATAATAAAACAACTATTTCTATGACAAAGAACCCAGCGTTTTACAGTAGAACAAAACATATTGAACTTCGACATCACTATATTCGTGATCTTGTTGCAGATGAAGAAATTGTCTTGGAATATTGTAACACCGATGAACAGCTAGCAGACATACTTACCAAGGTTTTGTCAAAAGAAAAGTTTTGCTACTCCAGACGATTACTTGACATTTGCAACTTTGAATCAAGGGGGAGTGTTAGATATGATTCAAAGTATTCAAAAAGATATGATTCAGAGTAATTGAGATATGATTCAAATATTCAAACTACCAAGATTTTAGGAGATTTTTAAGAGATGGTTAGTAGATTTGAATTTTTCTAGATTTCGATGATTTACTATTTTTGGTCTAGTGTATAACCTAATCAATACGGGAATTGTGTAACCCTCTAAGCATCAAGTCAGTAGACCATAATAAAGCACGGCAACATTCATCTATTCTATCTATTCTTATCCCTTTCACTATCCTTTTTCCAACACAATCCACTCCCTTCGAGGTCCAGCGAGGGTCGACACTCGTTCCTCTATCAAATCGATGTGGGATCGATGTGAGATCTCACAATAGCAACTCAATTTAATTTGATTTAATTTGGCATATACTAATCTAGTATACTAATCTAGTTTGGTGGCATATACTAATCTAGTATACTAATCTAGTTTGGTTCAAGTTAGCTGCAAATATAAGTTTATTTGATTTGTCTGAACTTTTTCAAGCCATGTTAGACATTAGTTTGTTCAACAGATTAGGAGCAACGTTTTAGATGGAGTAAAATCATTGGCTTTATGACTCCAAACTACGAAACTTTCTGAGATCTAATTCTTCTGAAATGTTTTATTTCATTTCTGATCAAATTCTTTGAATTCAGTGATGGGGAAGATCACTACAAAAGCTGATGTATTCAGCTTTGGGGTGGTGCTGATGGAACTTTTGACTGGAATGATGGCACTTGACGAGGCACGCCCAGAGGAAAGTCGGTACTTAGCTGAATGGTTTTGGCAAATCAAATCGAACAGAGAAAAGCTAATGTCTGCTATCGATCCATCTCTATCCGTAAACGACGACCTCTTTGAGAGGATCTCCATAATCGCTGAATTGGCAGGACATTGCACAGCTAGAGAGCCAACCCATCGTCCCGATATGGGACATGTCGTGAGCGTACTTTCGCCTTTGGTTGAGAAGTGGAAACCAATTCAAAACGATGCTGAGAGTTTCTCCGGGATCGATTACAGCCTACCACTTCCTCAAATGCTGAAGGTATGGCAGCAATCTGGAAGCCGGGAGACAAGCTTTACGAGCCTTCAAGACAGTAAGGGAAGCATCCCCGCCCGCCCCACCGGATTTGCAGACTCCTTCACCTCTGTTGATGGAAGATGAGTAAACTCGTTACAACACACAAGAGTGAACATTCCCTTTTGAACTATTGCCATCTTTGCTGAATATAATATATGATCAATTATAAGTAAAACAGTGCTTTTGATTTCACTTTTTTTCCCCATATTTATATCATGTTTATTTATACCATGGAATTTACACTGTAAATAATGGTGCCATTGCAAATATGAACGATATTATCCATTTGAGTTCACGCCTTGTGTCAAGGCTATGGGCTCTGATATTTCTCTACAACATAGTCACGTTACTTGTTTCTCATTTGTAAGAGTGAAGACTATCCTCACAATCAAACAGAGTCATTTCAAGATCTTTTGTATTACTCAAATGCATATTAGAAATTTTTTTATGATTTATCATTTTTCCTCCAATATTATTTTAATAAATGACTTTATAGCTATTTTATTCGTAAAATAATATATTATTCCAAGTTTCTTTTAATTTTAAAATATATGTCAAATACAAATGTTAATTCGACTCGGGACGGGATTCTTCATTTGGTGTTCATGGGATTCTTCATGGAGGTATTGAACTTGCCCGCCCGCTTTTTGAGAAAATGCCGAAGCGAACTTTGGTAGCTAGGTACACATTATTACTCCTAGGATTGAGCATCATAATGGATGTATAAAATGTAAGCAAACCCCTCGTTCGATTAGCGAGTTTTGATTCTTGATTCACGAAAGGCATTACTAACACCACTTGATTGCATAAAACATTTGGAGCAATCTACAAAATTGATACTAGAACATAAGCTTAGTCAAGTTTGGCCAAAATTGACGTCGAAACAAAAATCGAATAGAGGGAAACTTATGAAACCAACCCACAAAGCATATCTTGGCATACCATAGTTTATACAATCAGTGTTGCTTCATAAACCGTGTTTGCACCCTATCAGCCACCTCGGCTTTCCCATGAATCCTACAAGCACTCAACAGGGCGCCCCACAATGCCTCATCAGGCTCAATCTCCATCTCCATCTCCATAATCAACTTCTCTGCTTCTTCCACTTGTCCCACCCTCCCCAGCAAATCCACCATGCAGGTGTAATGTTCCAACCCAGGCTTCAAATTGAACCCCATTTTCATCATACCAAAATACTCCTTCCCCCTCTCAATCAACCCTCCATGGCTGCATGCCGTGAGAAGAGCTGTAAAAGTGAGCTCATCCGGCTTTTGTCCCTCTTCCACCATCCTCTCAAACAATCCAAACACCTCACCAAACATCCCATGAACACCATAACCCGCCATCAACGCAGACCACGACACCTCATTTCTCTCAGGCATTCCATCGAACACCTTCCGTGCAATACCCAAGTCCCCGCACTTCCCATACATCGTAATCAACGCATTCAAATTCGGCAAATCGGTTGAGAACCCATTAATCACAACAAACCCATGAACCTGCCGGCCAAGGCGCAAGGACGACAGACCCGTACATGACTTGAGCACCGGCGGCAAAGTATGACGGTCAATGGGCTTTCCAGAAAGAAGCATGTGGCGGAAAATCGAGAGTGATTGGGAGAAGAGACGCAGAGAGGAGTGGGCTCTGATGAGGGCATTAAAGAGGAAGGTGGGGCGGCGAGTGGCGAAGGAGAAGATGGTAGTGGCTTGTGGCAGATGGTCGCAGGCGGCGTAGGTGGAGGCAAGCTTGGTTCGAATGAAATCATGGTGAGAGATTCCGAGTCGGATGGTTAGAGCGTGGATTTGCTTAAGTGTGTGGTGGTTCTTGGTGGAGGAGCATGCTTGGAGGAGAGCGGCGTAGAAGGGGATTATGTCTTGTGGTTTGGGCATTTACCAGATCGAAGAAGATGAAGCTTCAGATCTCTCAGCTGTTTAGTATTGGTAGACCAAGATGAAGGCCAAAAGACGCCTCATGATTAACTTCAAGCATTCCCCTGTTCTCCTCCTCTTAACTTCAAGTATTCCCTCTGTATATCAAGTTGGCGAGAAACTCAATCTATCATTCAAAGAAAACACAGAAAGACGATACCATTTCACTAGAAGGTTAGTAGAAGATGAGAATGTGTTTAACGAAAATAGAGGGTGCAAAGAATCCAACAAACCGCTTAAACAATTGATGTTGGAAAGTTGAGGTTGAGGTTTGAAGTAGGGTGATGTTGGAAAGTTGAGGTTGAAGTTTGAGATATGGTGAAATGAAGATTGAGAATGAAATTCTTAGTTGTTGTCTGTATAAATCTGGGGGAGATTGTTGGGATATGGAGCCTGACATGTGGTAGATATATATAGTAGATATTTCATAATAATTTGGTAGATATATATATATATATATCCTAAACCCTATATATATATATATGATAGATATTTGGTAAGATTTAGTAAAGTTATATATATTACACTGAAACCATTATATATATATATATATATATATATCCTGTTAGACAGTACAATAGGTATGTTTTTCATTATCTGTATTCTCTCTTTGTGTACATAACTAAATTCGTCAATAAAACCTAAGTCAATATTCTTTCTTGAATTTTCTCTCTCATATTCTTTGTGTTCATCTTTATCAAGTGTGTAGGTTGTAGTGCGATCTTAAAAACCAAGGCACAACAAAGATGAAGGTTGTCAATTCGACAGTTTTACCTGGTTTAAGAGTTGCAAAGAGAACTTCGATCAAGCTGAGGACTTGGACTTAACAAACCGACTTTGTGATAGTCAAGATGGATGACTTCAACATCGTGTTAGGGATGAACTTTTTGCGAGAACACAAATTCATTCTCATGCCCTAGCGAAATGCTTAGTAGTAACAGGGTCAAACTTGACGATTATTCAGACAAACACCCGTCAACCAAGAGGGTGAAAATGATGTCGACGTATAATTGAGAAAGGATCTTAGTCATGAAGAACCTATGATCACCGCTATTGCTATATTCGAAAAGAGGAGTTCAAGTGAGCCAACCTCAACAGAAACCTCTTGGCTGCTACAAGAACACCGTGATGCAAATCCTAAAGGACAAACAAAGGATTTATCCCCACATGGGGAGATAAATCACGAGATTAATTTTATGTTAGGGGCGAGATCGCCTGCCAAAGATGAATGTCATGTTAAAATATCACCACTAGCCCAATAGGGTTAAGCCCGACCATTGTATAAATACCCCTCCACCCTACTTAGTTCATCATCCAAAGAAATCCCAAGCAACACAAATAATAGTCCTACTTAGTTCATCATCCAAAGAAATCCCAAGCAACACAAAGTAGTAGTCTTACTTAGTTCATCATCCAAAGAAATCCCAACCAACAAAAAATAGTAGTTTCTACAGAGTGTTTTGTAAATCTCTTCTCGATTTGTCTTAATAAAGTGTGCAAGTGTTTCCACAGAGAGGTGTGTTCAACAATCTGGTATCAGAGCGAGGTTAGTGTAGGATATATGATCTCTTGGAATTCTTAGTATGCTCTATGGTTGCAGCTTTGTCTGATCTTCCACATGAGAAACGATTTCTTGAGATTAGTAGTGAGTGAGTTTCTTTTGTGTCATGAGTAGTTTGTGACTCTGCAAGTCTTGTATCGAAAGAGCTTGTTTGGTATTACTGAGGTATAACATGATGGGTGATTTTCAAATGGTTGGAGGAATCAAGAAACTCAACAACAACAACAACAACAACTACAACACGTGGGCAACATGCATGATATCCTATTTACAAGGACATGATCTTTGGGAGATCGTTGGCGGGTGCGAAACTAAGCCGCCAGAGGATGATTCTAACGGCGCCTTGCGCAAATGGAGAATCAAAGCTGGAAAAACAATGTTTGCTTTGAAGACCACAATTGAAGAAGGGATGTTAGAGCATATTTGGGAAGACAAGACACCGAAAGAAGCATGGGACACGTTCGTGATGTTCTCAAAGAAGAACGATACGAGATTACAACTTCTGGAGAACGAGTTGTTGTCAATTTTACAACGTGACATGACAATTACTCAGTACTTCCACGAGGTCAAGTCGATCTGTCGGGAGATTACTAAACTAGACCCAAAGTCCGCAATTGGAGAAGATCGAATGAAGAGAATCATAATCCACGGATTGCGACCATACTATCGAAGCCATTATTGCTGTACAAGGATGACCCACTCAACCATCAGTTGTAGAGTTCGAAAATTTGTTAGCCAACCAAGAAGCCATGGCTAAACAAATAGGAGGCATCACATTGAAGGGTGAAGAAGAAGCACTTTACACAAGTGAAAGCAGGAGCAAGAATAGGTCGTCTACCAAACGTGGATATAATGGTGACAAAAGAAGAAGTCACAAAGGAACTGTGCAACCAGGAAAAGCTTAGAAGAACGATAACAATAACTCTTAAGGGAAGAGATTTGAAGGCACCTGCTACCATTGTGGGAAAAAGTGCCACATGTTCAAAGATTGTTGGTCCAAGAAAAAAAATCTATCGAAAGCAATGTGGCATCCTCCAACATGGAGATGGAGGAGGAATGGGATGTAGAGGTACTGTATGTCATAGAAGAAGATGAGCTAGCACTCATGGTAATGATGGGAGACCATATCGATTATGAGAATGATTGAATCATTGATTCAGGAGACTCAAACCACATGATTGACAATCAAAGTGGTGCAATGGAAGAGGGGTTGCCCTCAGAGAAGGAAGTATTACCAGCCTTGAGAAAATTGAAGAAATTCTTCTGACGGGAGAGAAACTGAAGAGATTCTTCCACAGAAGATAGGAAGCAAACTGTACACATTTTCTTAAGTGCTGATGTGCCTAAAGATTCAAGTGACACTAGTGTTGGTGAGTAAGAAGTGACTCAACCAAGTGAACCTAGTGAAAATGAAATGATACCTCAATAACTCAGACATTCAAAAATAATCCTAAAGCCAAATCCAGAGTATGCCAACGTTGTAGAAGACGGAGTTAATAAGGCAGAGATATATGAGAATGTATCACAAAACTCGGTTTGGCAGAAAGCGATGGAGGAAGAAATTGTAGCCCTGAAGCAAAATCAAACTTGGAACTAGTGTCAAGATCAAGAGATGTTAAATCTATCTTTTGCAAGTGGATTTACATAATAAAGTGTACCCCGGATGGATCAATCGTGAGATACAAAACTAAGACCATAGATCCAGGGTTCTCTCAACAATATGAACTAGACTATCATGAAACGTTTAGTCCAGTGGCAAAGATCATTATCTTACAAGTTCCTCCAGTACTTGCGGTAAATAAAGATTGGAAATTATGGCAGATGAATATGAATAATGCTTTCTTGCATAGAGAGTTGGACTGAGAGTTCTACATGAACCAACCAAAAGGATTTGAGAATGAAGTTGGAGTCATTAGTTAGTACATGCGAAGTCTGAAGAAGCTTCCTTTGGATGCGGCTCGACAGACCTTGAGATATGTCAAACGATATCACGATACTCGAAGGTCAAGTATTGGATATGTGTTCAAGCTCAGTTCGAGTAGAAAAAGACAACCAACAGTATCATTGTCTATTAGAGAAATAGAGTACAAAGCAGCGATTGGAGCATCTCAGGAAAGTACATTGCTGAAACTCTTGATGGAAGATTGGCACCAGAAAATTGACTATCAAATACCACTTCATTGCGACAACCAATCTACGATTCACATAGCAGAAAATTTGGTGTTTCATGCTAGAACAAAGTATGTGGAGGTACACTACCATTTCATTAGAGAAAAAGCCCTGAAGGAAGAAATCGAGATGCAACAGATCAAGACGGATGACCAAGTAATAGACTTATTTACAAAAGGGCTTAACACTGGCAAACATGGGAGTTTTCATTGTCAGCTTAACATGGTGCAACCAATGAGTACTAGTGCTGAGGGAGAGTGTTAAAATATCGTCACTAGCCTAATAGGGTTAAGCCCAACAATTGTATGAGTAATTATATTTATGTTAAGAAAATGATTTAGGGAATGTAGGAATAAATTTAGAAAAATGATTTAGGGATTTTAGGAATAAATTTAGGAAAATGATTTAGGTATTTTAAATAAAACATTGAGAAATTTTATGAATAGATTGGCTACTATCTAGTATAAATACCCCTCCACCCTACTTAGTTCATCATCCCAAGAAATCCCAAGCAACACAAAATAGTAGTTTATACTTAGTGTTTTGTAAATTTCTTCTCGATTGGTTTTAATAAAGTGTGCGAGTGTTTCCTACAGAGAGTTGTGTTCAACATGTCATACGACTCAACTTGAGTTAGCTGAATTCTACAAACAGTTAAATGAATTGTTGACAGTCAGGTTCATTAGACCAGCAAAAACTATTGTCAGTGATCACCCAAATGGCGAGAACAGACAATAAGCCAACGTCCCCGCTGAAGGAGGGAAACAGAGACAAATGAAAAAAATGACCGATCAGAAGCGTCGGCTAAAAATTTCAAGATTGAGAGAGAGTACTGATCAACGAGGTTAGACCAACTTCGAGTTCAAAGCAATAATAACCAAAGACCTGTGCGAGAGTACTATTGATAAGGATCACGGTGTTCTAAATGTTCCAACTGAACCTATTACACGATCCAATGTCAAGAAGATTTAATAAACATTCATTTTTCATCTACATAACTGGATAGACTCGATTCAACCATTATTTCATGTGTTACAAGCTCATTCGATTGAGGAACAACCATTCGAAACTTCGAAAGTGAATATTTGCACGGTTGAAGTAGCGAATGATGTGGCTATAAATTACATTTGATTAATAAATTGTTAGAAAATTTTATTTATCCTTTTTAATTTCATAATTTGTTGTAGTGGACAAAAGGGCTAGGAGTTACTTGGTGATTTTTTTTTTTTTTTTTTTTTTTTTTTTTTTTTTTTTTTTTTTTTTTTTTTTT